CAACACAGATTCTTGATGAAAATTTGCTGCTTGGAGCGACTTGAGTCTAAGCCATTTGTGTGTATTGAGACCACGATGGTCCTCTTGCCGAAGAAGAGCACCCCGCAGAGCGATGAAGTTTGAGGCGAAACTAGTCTTGGGTGTAGCGCCAGCCAAGTGGTGTCCAAGACAGGCATTGTCGGTTCTGATGCTTGGAATTCCCCGACCTAAGAGCGATCAAAGTAAGTCGTCTAAAATGAGACAGGGGATGCAGACGGCACAGAGACAGCAGTCACCGAGAAAAAACAAGGTGTCGATAATTGCCAAAGCAATACTTGCGAAGAACAAAGCAGCGCACTTCTATGGTCGGCTGTGAATCTGGAAGGGTGCAATGGTGCATGCGACTTGTGTCAACAGGTTTGAGGACGCCCAGCCAAGTCCAGGATCAATGCTGTGTTGAGCCGAGCAACACCAGATCTTCATAAGGACGATGAGCGTGAGGTGTGCACGGTGTACACGGCAATCTAGCCCTGCTGCACGATAGCTGAGGTTCACGAGCGAGCGAAAGACGGGGAGAAGAGGAAGAAAGTCGTGCGATGTTGTGGCTTGTGATGGCTTTGATCAAACCGAACCATTTTTTTGGCGACACGTGCGTATTTCGGACTCGGTCCAACATCGGCCGATGCATCCTGTCTCACGGATGCCAAGCTCTGTGCTTCCAATGTCATGTTGTCTCTATGATTGTCAAGCGCATAGCGCTTCGAGTCACATAATCATACTGCGGTCAGCTGTATTTCCTCCAATGTTTTTTTCAGACTGCACTCAGTTCAAAGGCCTGCCAATGGACCGCAACTTTGTGCTGTTTTGTGTCGACCCACTGCTCAGTTATAGGCTACTCTGGCTCTCACGCTCGTCCCGGTCGACTGTCAACCGGTAAACGTCAATCAATACTCCGTTGTGCGAGATTCCCAGTCTGGGAAACTAACATGTTCTTGGTCAGGAAATGTTGTGATTTCACACAGCAAGACACACTGATAGGTTCAAATTTGGTAAATTCAATTTATTGTTCGCCCCATGCGTAGTTGAGACAACTTACGGGATGTGGTGGAAAGAAGAATCTATTTGCCTGGGTAGGAGTTGATGTTTCAATTCATGCATGGCTCACACTTCGCAAGGTTGCCCAAACTAATAGATAGCCATAGGTCGTGATAATGGCAGCACCGATTTTCATAGCTCACCGTAGCTCCCCATAGCCCAGTATAGCATTCAAGATATTCTCATAGATCCTTGTAACCTGTCATAGCCCCCTATAGCCCATCATAGCTGACCTTTCGTCTATGAGGCCACTTTGGATTTTCCTGATGTGCTCTGTCCCCAGCTCAATAACAATGGTGCATTATGGGTAGCTGCCAAAAACTCAACATCCATCATCTTAGACCAGCAAGCTGAAGATGTACACCTTTTCGCAGCACGAACGTCTTGAGGAAGGTTATCGGGATCAGATATCATGACACCATTGTCTATTGAGTTGTCCACCATTTTTATTCTGAAGGGAGCTGGAGCCAGAATCAAGAAACTGATACTGTCTGTTCAGTCATTCTTTGGAGCATGAGTAAAGGCAATTTAGATCAAACAGCAAGAGATCTGTTGCAGTAAGTATGCATTTCTGAAGCCGGACCAGGAACATGGGGGACCTGAGGGACCAGCCACAGGTTGCTGACAAGTGTCCGCTTTTTTCTTCTTGCAACTGCTCAAACTGAACCAGGATTCACAGGCTCAACAGTGATCTGCTTTGATCTCGAAGACAGGGATGGGAGGAATCCCCGAAACCAGAGTTAGATGATTAGACTCGACTTTTATTTGAAATTCTGAATCTTTACAACACAATGGCTTAGTGGCATAAATATCATGATTCCGTTGGGGAGTATGGGTTGCTGCTAGTACATGTTTAAAAAAAAACGACACTAACAGAAAAAACTAAATGACATCATCCACATCCACCTAGTCTCTTGCACTGACTTTCCGCTTGCGACCTTGTTATCCTCCAACCCATTGAATGCAATGCACATTCAAAAAACTAAACACCACTGTCCACATCCAACCTAGTGTCTTGCATCAACTTCCTTATTTATCATCCAACCTAATAAACCCGATGAAGAGTGCAAATGCAGCTTGCTGCTCTGGAAGATCACCATGGGTGCTGCATCCATCAGCAGAGCGGAGGGTTTCCAACTCAGCTCCTGCGGCTTAGCTCAGAGTCAGTACTGCATTGAATGGCCACCAGGTGACAAGCAGGTAGGTGGCACACCAGATAATTCGAGAAACCTGCAGACCTGTGGGTACAATAGGCTTCTTTATGTACAGCAAGCAGGTGCAGAACATGACTATTCACTATCAAGTCTATTCTTTGCTTGGGCCTCAGACTTGCTGTTGACTGTTGACTGGTGGTGCTTGGTGATGTAAGAGAGGAGAAATAGGGATTTCATTCCTTTTGAGGACCCTCCAGAGTCAAACCGGTGTCATCAAAACCTGAACTTGATCTGTACTCATGCCCCGCTCAAAAAAAAAAGAATCCAAGCAGTCAGAGCATGACTTGACCCGGAATTGCACTGGCACTCTGGCAGGCATTACAAACAGTGCAGACTATCCGCTATCGAGTCGTTTCAGGTTGGACTGGGACCCGGATTGGATCTTGAGCAATAGATGGAAGCACTTCACGTTGCAACTCCCACAACGCAAAAAATCAGTCCACAATTTGAACCGAAGTTGAACTGCGTGCACTTGGTCAGTATGCAAGGGCTGTACTCAAAAAAGTTGTGTGCAACCGCAATATCACTTGACTCAGAATCAACCGGAAATTCTGCAGATACGGTGGCTTCAGGCATTGTTTACAGCAAGGAGACGCGGACCATCCGCTATCAAGTCGATTTAGGCTTGGTTTGGGATTCTGAGTCAGACTTGAGTTGAATGTTTGTGTCTGTCAGCGATGTAAGAGAGGGGGTGACAAAAACAAAAACAGTTACTTCCTTGGAATCGCGACTGTTGAACCGGTTGTAAGTAATGAGCCAAGAGTAGTGCTGGCCAAATATGATATAAATACGGAAAATGCCATATCGTATTCATATCCATATCATATTCACTCCCTGGGGCCCGTATCGTATTTTTAGTGTATCGTATTCATATTCAACCACTTGAATATGAATATATTTCGAATATATCTAAATATGTTTCACCACGGATTTGGTCAAGGAAAAGGCATTGAAATTTGGTGGAACATGCTCTCAGAGTCAGAAATATAGAGTATGGTTTCTGTAAGTGCTGCACACTGGCTGTGGGATGGGGAATTTGGTGTGTGATCTTGGTTGTGAATTTTCATCACATCAACATCATGACATTTGAACATTCCTCATCCAGCTCGAATGAATGGACACTGGGCCCTACACTCCCCTATACTGTTGATGGAGCCGATTGCGTGGCCTGGGAGAGTTGCCAAAATTTCGCCTTTGCCCCTAAGTCTTTTTGGGACGATTACCTTTTTGGGATGCTTCGGCCGAAAGACAGCAGTCAGAACGGTGCCGAAATGCCGTCCCAATTTCAAAAAACCTTAAGTTGAGCGTAGAAGGTATAAGTAGGAGCAGCGAGCAGCGAGGTGGAGAGAAACAAAGCTGTTGTTCCCCTGGTCCGTCCAGTCACATTCCCCAAGTAGAGGCACAAAAAAATATTTCCGTTGGTATTGACACGTGAGGTACAATGGCTACATATAGCTACAGGTACAAGCTTTCTTGGCAAAAACCCTAGCATTGAGGAGAGAGCAAGGAAGAATGGGCACCAAGCTGAGGTCAGCCTGCGGGAGGACGGGAATGCGTGGCGTTGTCAGCCCTGAATGCCGCTGATGCCAACTTTCGGCCGGGCCGTCCCAAAAAGGTAGTCGTCCCAAAAAGGCTCAGGGGCAAAGGCGAAAAGTATTGAGTGGCCTGGGATACAATTTGAAGGTCAGACCATCTGTGTTGGCTCCACAAGCAGCAAAAAAACACAGGTTAGGCATATTCAAATATAACTGAGTATGCTGGTGGCATATCATATTATATTCATATTGTATCATAGTCATATTCATGCATATTCATATTTGGAAAGAGGCCTGGGGACCGTATCGTATTTGTATTTAGTTGAATATATTCAAAATATATTTTTCCGTATCGTATTTTTGGCCAGCACTAGCCAAGAGCACACTTCGAAGTAAGCCGAATTATCACCCGTACCAACAAAGAAAATTCTCAATCATGGAATGACTTGACCCGGAATCGAACTGGACGCACATCCTGCGTGAAGCGAGCAATGGAAGTACTGGACCAAGGAGAGCAGGCACGGACCATCCGCTGTCAAGATTCGCAGTTGAACATTGACATCGAAGTATTTTGCGCGCTGTCCTAAGCGGGGCAAAGAACTGGTCGCCCCCGATGCGAAGCTGAAGTCGAACTGCCCGGACTTGATCAGCATATACTTGTATTGAAGAAGAAAAAACCTTCCATGAGATGATGGCATCACTCGACCAGAATCGAACCAGATGCACAGCGTGCGTCATTAGGGTGCTCGGCAGATACGAAAAGGAGGCATAGACCATCCACTATCGAGTCTGTTCTTTGCTCGGTTGGAACCCAGATTGGTTGTTTTCAGTGTTGGCCCTTGCGAAGGGGACATTTTCTACCTTTGTGGATCATCAGAACCGGGGTCTTACCGGGAAGAATCCAATGAGAAAGGGGTCAATGAGCAGCACTCACCTTGAATTGTTTCATACACAGGGCAACCCACTCCAGAATGCACATTGGGTGAATTGAGGTGAGGCAAGTTGGAGTTGGAGTCGAGGAGGGGGGAATGTGGAAGCACTGGAGAGAAAGGTGGATGTAGCGCGAGAACGAGTTTTTTTTGCTTTTTGAGTTCCCTCGGTATGGGAAGCGGACATCGAAGCTTGGATTTCCATCCATTCGAGAAGAAAAAGATGTTCCCGCTTCCCAGCCATTGAACGACTTGACCCGGAATCGAACCGAAATTCCTGCATGTGTAATGTCTTCGATCGGCACAGCAAACAGGCGCGGACCATCCGCTATCAAGCCGTTCTTTCCTTGGTTGAGGCTAATATTTGCAGTTGCATTGAACTCGTCGAAGTGCAGAATATTATTGTTGTTCCCTTTAGCGTTGTGCAAGCAGAACTTCCAGCGAACTGTACTTGTAGAGTGCATGATAGCAGTTGGGATCTTGAGTTCCACTTAAAGGGCCTGCATGGAAGCACAAACATGATCAGTGAAAAAGAAGTTCAATCATCGTGACCGCGCTATGACTTGACCCGGAATCGAACCGGAACTCCTGCAGGTACATTCGCCTTGAGACCATGGCACAGCACATAGGCGCGGATCATCCGCTATCAAGTCGTTCTATGCTTGGGCAGGATTCGGACTTGGGGTTCAATAATGTCGACGAGATCTGTGGGATAAATTTCCACTCCCGAGGATCCCCGACTCGAACTGAAGTCAAACTGCCCAAACTTGATGAGTATGTATCTATATACTGGTAGTGAAGAAGAAAAAAATGAATCCGATTCAGATTAGCATATGACTCGACCCGGAATCGAACCGGGATTCCTGGACGAATATTGTTCAGGCAAGCAGGTGCGGACCATGGCCATCCGCTATCAAGTTTATTCTTTGCTTGGGTTGGGACTCGGATTGGATATTGAACGTTGAACTACGAGTCACGGCTGGCACCAGCTATAGAGACGATTGTTGCGCGAAAGGAAAAAAAACACCTATTTCCATAAGTTCAAGACTTGGCCCGGATTACAATCGGAACTCCTGCAGGTACTGTTGTAGTCAGCAGGCACGGACCATCTGCCGTCAAGTCTGTTCTTTGCTTGGGCTTGGGTTGTTATTAATACTCGCAGTTGCATTGAACGTCAACGCTAGAGCAGGAGAAAGTAAACAGGTATTCAAGTACTTTCGGGGCTTTGAGGCCCGGTTTCTTGTTTGGAAGAATCTGGTGAGTAGCCAGCGGTGGGCAGGCAGTAGAGGTTCGACTCTGTATCAACTTGATACAGGCCTTGAAAATCATAATTGAGGTTGGCGACTTGGGATGAGAGTGCAGATAGAGGAGAGGAAAAGCACGAGCCCAGAATTACTACCAGAAATAAATCGAACTGAATACCATCCTGCGCGTATTATATTCCGGCGGGCGCAAGGGGAGTTCGGGATTCGAAATTCGGATATAGGGTCGAAAAGTTTTTTTCGGCCCCAAGGTGACCCCCCCCCCTCCCCCTCCTTCCTAATAGGGAAGGAGTTTCCCACCCCTAGGGCCGGGCCGATCACTCCGCGTCCAGCCGCCACTGTTTAACTCACTTCCCACCACCCCTAGAATTTGATAATGCTTTTTTTATACCATCTAATGAGTGTTGGAGATAACTTGAACACTCAGCACTCCAAGAGCTGAATAATTCTAACCTGAGAACTGACCACAGTTGGCTTCAATTTGGCTTGAATCACGGAAGACATGGGTTCAGACTGAGAAATTCTCTTCTATACACTCTCTGGACATTTATATGTGTTTCTTATGAGCAACCAACACCTCCCTCATGGTTTATGAGCCATTTTGCAGCTCTAAACTTTATATACTGAAAAGTTTTTTTCAGCCTGACCTGGACCCCCCCCTCCCCCTCCCCACGTACGGGATTTTAATCCCGATCCCCCCTTGGGCGGGCGTAGGGAAAAGCAGGCAGACCTTCTGCCACCAAGATCCTTGAAGTTCAAGTTGCAACCACGGAAATATTTTAAACCATTACCGTAAGACGGTGGTCGAGCTCCAGACGGCAAGTCGCGACTTAAGGCCGAGGGTGACCGCGACGGTCCATTCAACAGGCATCCAACGGGCATCGGATGCGAATGAGGTGGAAGTTGAACGCAAGCCCGCTCCTAACACCCACAAAGATGCGCACCGCCACATTTCCTCTTTCGCCAATTTCCATTGCACGCCTTGGCGTGATGAGCGTCGTCCCTTTAATGTAGAGCCGTCTACGCAAAAAATTGACTCGCTAAGTCGTTCAGAGATTCACTTGTCGTCGCCGTTCATTCCATATGAGGGAAGGCTGACTCTTGCTTTTATCATTCAATTATGTGCTTTGTGCTTTGTGCTGTGTGTGTTGCGTATGGTGGGCACAGCTCGGACGTGCTTGCGGACTTACGGGTGAACGTGACGCTGGAGGGCTCGGAGAAGGTGCTTTGGTTCAAGGTGCGCTTCTTCCCATCTATTCATGTTTGATTATTGAAGTCACTGGCGTAGGAACGCTTCCTGGAAGACGAAGAAATCATCGAGCACCTGGTGCACAACGAAACGCGGCGGATCCACTGGACGATGCACCGGCCGCGGAACGGGTGATACATCCGCATCCGCCCGGCGCGTCCATCTCCTCATCCCGCCCCGCCCAGACTCGCCCCACGCGCCCGGCGCGCTGCTGTTTGAGTCGCGCACGAATGCACCTATACCACATACGCATTCACCGACGCTCACGTTCCAGCACGTCCTCATCCACGCATGAAGCAGATACGGGCCCGCGCACAAGAACCAGCGCCATCCACCCACACCCACCGCGAGCGCACCGTCCCTGGTCGTGCATCCGCCCACGCCCGCTAGCGTGCATGCGCGGCTGAAGCAGGCGCAGGCGGCGCAACAAGCGAGTCGTAATCAACGAGCACCGTCGCAGGTACCCTCTTGCCTCGGGTGCGCATCATTTCTGCGCTCCTGACTCTCCTTCCCTCTCAATGTAGGCGCGCGCGTCGTCGCGCCTCGCAGGCACCCACTCCCTCAAGCAGTTCCCCGTCGGCCCGTCGCTTCTCTCCCGCTTCGCCGCAAGCCCAAATGATTTATGCCAATGCGCTAGAAGGCACTGTGCGGGTTGTCGATTTCGCTGGTGGCGCGGTCGGAGCAGCTCCCGCCGACGTAGCCACCGAGCCGCCAGCTGTTTGTCCGTTGATGCGACCGAGCGCGATGTCTGCGATGTCGTCGCCCACTTCGGCGACGTCGAGTCCGTGCGCTTGACTGCGTTCCTCCTTTTTTTCTCACTCTTGTACTGATAATATTTCACTCGCGCGCAGTCATGAGCCCCGACGAGTCCTTCCACGGCCTCGACTACGTGGCCTTCACCTTGCAGACCGCCGCAGACAAGTGCCTCAACACCGGCTTCGAGATCTTCGGGCGACCCGTACGCCTCGACTACTCCGCGCCACCCTCGCATGTCGCCGGCTCCTCAGCGCTGCCGTCCAATCGCACCGTCGCGCCGCCCGACGCAACAGGCCCTACGGCACCGAAGAGGCCGACCTGCGCGAGAAGCTCACGCCCTTTGACGCCATAATCGTCGCCGAGCCCCGCGGCTTTGCGCACATCGAGTTCCTGACGCCATGGCCACGTACGAGAGCTTGCTGTATCTGCTCGACCGCAACTTGCGCTTGGACTATCGACGAGCCAAGAACCCCGCGAGGCATCGGCTGTACTTTTACGACTAGAGGGGGAACGAGGAGGCGCTGCGGACGGTGCTGGATGAGTTTGAGACGAGCATACGTTACAGAGGGTGTATTTCTGTGAGTGGGCGTAGCGAGCGACGCTATTTTTTGCGCTCTGCCTTGGCTTACATGCAACCAACGCTCGCTTACAGTACGTTCCAACCTCACCGGCGAGCTCACCAGCTCCGGCTTCCTCGAGTTCCTCCCCGTCGAGCGCGTCACCCAGGCCCTCACAAAGGTCGGCGGCAGCGCCACCCCGTACGGCCCCATCAACCTCGAGTATGCCATGCGCTCAGTCGCGAGGGTGCGTGGCGTTTCCTTCCCTCTGGTTCTTCATTCGTTTGCCTTGAGTTCTCGATTTTTTTCCATCTATCGCATCCCAATACTATGCTTCTCTTTCTCAATATCATCCTCCTCTTTTTGTTTTCCGTCTTTTCTCTGCGCGTTTCTCTACGCGTTTTCCGTCTTTTCCGAGCTTTATTAATGTGGCGTGTTTTTCAGGCGGCCCTCGACATGGCGGGCAGGGACCAGGCGAATGGCAGGGGGGCGAGGTGGGTACGGAGTGGGCGCCTGCAAGGCGGGTACGCGGCCGGGTCCGGCGGCGGAAGAGGAAGAGGCGGAGGTAGTGGTGGATATGGCGGCGGGCGGCTGCAGTGGGGGGGAGGGACAGAGCCGGGGGTATGGCGGAGGGGATTACTAGGTTTGTTTCCCTTTCCTTATTTTTTCGCTCAGTTCTGTACACACGCCCACACGCTTGTACCCTATTCGCATAATACTAACTACCCACGCTAGTAGGCTACACACAAAATCATCACATGTACCTAGACCTACGTATGTGCTGGAATGAACCCGCTGCTCACTGCACTGCTCACTGCACTGCTCACTGCACTGCGCATGTTATGCCTATTTCGAGTTGGGCGAGAAAACAGGGATTCGATCTCGAAGGCGAACTCGGTGCATATGCAATCCGACGGGGGGCAAAACGCGGGACAGTGTACGTGCACTGCTGCTAATTGATAGCAAGATATGTCAACTACTTACTCGGACAAGGGAAAGGAAGGGGTAGAGTAGAGTAGAGGACGCGAGACGCGGTATCGACGGGGTGAAATACGTAGCGGATCTACGTATTTCCCAGACAGACAGATCCACGCGAGCGAGAACGGTCCTCCACCACCTCGTCCCCGTGCAAGTGTGGTTGCCGCGGCGCCGGGGTGTAAAAGCCGGCGGGCAGCGCGAGAGTCGGAGTCGGACTTGGAGTCAGAGGGGCAGGGTCAGAGCGAGTGACGAGGCGAGATGGGTAGGACGAGAGGAGTCGCACCCCATCTCGCCCGAGTCCATGTCGACAAACAGTCGAGTCCACGTCCAAGTTTCCTTTAGGCACGCGTACGGCCCGAGGGTGCAGTCGTGCGGAGCCCGGTGGGGAGAGCGGCGTAGGCACCAGAGGCAAGACCGTACGGTGGGGACGGTGGACGGTTGACCCGATTCAAGTGCGAAGAGGCATCAAAGGCAGTGAAAGGAAATGAAAATGAGGCGGAAGGTGCAGGGGGTAGGGGCAGGCGCGTGGGTGCGGG